CATTTATTGTGTTTGCCAAAAGGTTATTTGCAGATAAAGTCATGTTATCCAACATAGTATTCTTTTTGACCCTATACTTCCTGAACAAATGATTGGAAAATGTCTAAATGTCTAGTAAAAGGAATCCAAGAAAAATGTATTTGGGATTTGATAGGCCATTGTTTTCTAAAACTGTCAACATCAATAACAAATTCAGAGCACAAATCGATTCCCCTATTTGTGAGGTGAATTTGTAAGCTAATTATTCACATTTGAAATACTCTTAAAAAAGCACTTTTGTTTGCACTAGAATGCCACTATTGCGTTGTTGTTGTTGTTGTTGTTGTTGTTGTTGTTGGGTCATTACAGTTGCTATGATCAAAATTATGATATAAGCAATAGATTACATGCCTACTTTTATGTAGGAGAGGAAGCTGGCAACCCATAAAGAAGTATCATCTGACTGCAGTTTCTCACTAACAGTATCTAACCCTTTTATCATCTTTTAGCTCAATGTTTTGGTTATTTTTTGTTCCAAAGTTGATGTTTATTTCTGCAAAATGTTAGAGATGTTTGCCACATACTCAGCTCATAACAGAACACAGACACAGTTAGAAAAGAGCAAATATTGATGGCCGAATGCCTGAACAATAATCGCTGTTTTTGTTGCTGCTGTGTACATTCCTCCTGATGCCAATTAAAACAATGCACCATAGGAACTCACTGCTGTTTTTGTTTACTTGTGTAACATATAATGACTAAAACTGCTATTTGCTGTTCAAGCTTCAAAGAAAATAAATTGACACCTTCAAATTCACACCTCCAAATGCAAGCTAATTTTGCTGGATAATGAATGTGTTTGTGTAAGATTAGAATTATGAAAAATGAACTTAAAAAGTAAAGAAAGCACAATATTTAGTAGCAATTCAGATCAGATTTTATTAATCTCCTTCTGCAGCCACAAAAGGCTACATACAAGTTTTTTCCACGTGTAATACCTTTTCAATAATCAACCCTGTTGCTGAATTCTTCAACATAAACACAGCAGTATCCCCAAAATATATGAAACTCATTTTAGTTTTTTAAAAAGATCTTATATCTACGCTGTACCTCAGTTCTATGTGTTGTGTTGTTGTAACTTAAAATCAGCTGCTGTCTAGAGCAGGGGTGTCCAAACTACAGCCTGGGGGCCATTTTGAATCGGCCCTCACTCAGCAAATTAAAAAGTATAATGACTTATATTGTACTTCTTAATGTATAATGTAAGTATATTACACAGTATTCATGTGTTAATAGTCCCAATTTTATAATAAATGCAGTCAATTAAAGTTGAAAACAAGAAAAAAGCCCAATAACAAATGTACATAACAATCTTGAAATATACCCTTCCTATTTCCTCTCATTATAAGCAATCTGAAGCTTCTTTTTTAAGGAATGAGCTGCCAACAAAATAAATGAAAACCCTCTGGTGAGCTGTTTTTTTCTTAAAGCATTTTCAAGTATCAAGAATAATTTACCTACATTGGATTGACTTTTCCAACTTATAACTTAACTTATGAGGCAAAATACCTCTAGTGAGTTGCCCAGCGCTTCGTATATATATTTCTGTATGTGGCCCTCGGTGAAAAAGGTTTGGACACCCCTGCTCTAGAGAATTGATGAGTTGGAGAACCTTATATGTGACTTGGTTGCCCAATCACAATAGACCCAAACATCATACTCATCAGAAGACCTCACAACATGTGTTTTTTTCCAAAACAGCATCATTACAATATAATGCCAAAGCATCTGTTATATGATTACGTGACCTTAGGATACCATTTGTTAAAGCTTTAATACCAGAATGTAAATCACAGTTGCTAGTATTTTTGAATGTAGTGAACATGTGGCATACATTTGTATTACTACTTATTACAAATTACTACTAAATGTTAAATTACATATCTAGATGTGCTGTATGTGTCCTTTTGTGATCTACACTTTATAAAATATTCTATTTCACCTGGGTGGTTATAATGACTTTCAAATGAATACCCCCTCGGGTCATTATGATTCATGTATGTGTTATTAGTTACAATTTTAATTTTATATACAAGATAGGTCAGTTCCATACACAATGGTAAAAGTGAATTAAGAAAAGCAAAGTAAGGGCAATTTTTTGTACAATTGTGTCAACATTCACAGTTTGAATACAATCCACCACACAATGCCATCTTCTTTGATTATTTGATTTATTTTCTTGTCGTTTTACAGGTACATGAGTGTTAAGTTGATTTCTCCAAATCGTATCAAGATTGAATTACAGCAAGCAAAAGGTAAGCAGTTGCAGAATGAAGACACTCACATTACAATGGTCGAAATCCGATGTGACAGATATAAACATGTGCTCAACAGATTGACATGTGCTCAACAGATTGACATGAGGGCTACAAGGCACCACACAAACATACTTCTTCTAGCAGACGTTAACCTTGTCAGTAGGGCAAGAGTTGGTAAGTAAGTATGTGCACTAGGCCTACTGTTCAGTAGGATAAAGCAGGAAAACGCTGAAAGTGTTATAGTGGTTACCGTCGTCACAGAGGAAACATCCTCTGGGCAGTTTGACAGCCACCACGTCCCCAGCATTCAGTTGACGGGCCACAACTATACTGGCACTGTCCTCTTGGTCTCTTGTATTTTTATCTTTGGATCCTGCAACTACCTGGTTGTTAACCTGCAGACTGGCACAGGCGGCCAAGGGGTTACCAGGAGCCCCGGAGTCACTGTAGACGGTGACGGCCAGACTGTAGACACCAGGGTGAAGAACAGTGAAGATACCGGTCTCCGTACTGTAGCCATCACCCAGATTGATGAAGACGTGTTTGTAAGGGATGATTTTTTCGATTGAGAACTTGCCAAAACACATAAAGTGATCGGTATCTAACAGAGCAACAGAGACGGCAACGCGGCCGGCTGTAAATGCAAAGGAGAATTGAAAGTTAGAAAAAGTAAATCATTGAGTTTTCTGTATCATGAAGAAAAGTCTTAAGTGTGTGTGACCCACCTTCAATACTGTTGAGACTTTTCACTGTTTGTACGTATTCCTGCTCCAACTCACTCAGCTTTTCATCAAAGTGCATCTTCAGCCTGTTTACCTCTTTCAGCATCACACAGCAGTTGCACGATCCTTTGTCGATGGAACACACTGAAGACAAACACACAACAATACACTTGCAGATAAACATACTGTATGCAGACACCTGATTATGCACCCACAGTTCCAAGCACCATTACTGTACCTTCGTTTGGGTTCACAGGCCCTGCTGTTGAATTTGAGGTGTCCCATTTAAAGGAAGGAACAGCTAGGGATGCTTGAAGCAGACACAGCAGTAAGATAGCTGGAGGGAAAAAGCATATGCATGTAGTAATATACCCAGACGTTCTTTAGGTTGTATATATGAACCTTAACTTCCTCTAAACATGTCTTACCTCTCATGTTGACAGCTTTAGAAGGATGGAAGATGTGATAGACTGATCAGTAGAGGAGGTATCATGGATATATATTTTTTATCAGAGCCCCTCCCTGGTTGTAAGTTTCATTCCTCCTCTTCTGTCAGCGCTCCTCCTTTTTTTATGCTTGTGTTTTTTTATTCGTCTGCCCTATTTGTCTTTATATGTTCAATCGTCACCACTATCATTTTCTCAATCAACACCCTGCAGGGTTTTGTGTGGATGGTCACAGGTATCACCTGTCATCTGAAAAGAGGAGTTTGTATTACCTCTTTGACATTGCTGCATAATATTTAACTTTATTTCTTTTAATGCACACACACACACACACACACACACACACACACACACACACACACACACACACACACACACACACACACACACACACACACACACACACACACACACACACACACAGACACACACACACACACACACACACACACACACACACACACACACACACACACACACACACACACACACACATACACACACACACACACACACACACACACACACACACACACCACACACACACACACACACACACACACACACACACACACACCTTGACTCAAACGTAAGCCCCCTTTCCAAGCCCAAAGGAACCTTCTTAGGACATTCTGCCACTAACACCATCACCTTATTTTAATGTATCATTTTACTAATAAAACTGTATTAGGTTAGTAGTTAGTACTATTTAAACTTAATATTATTGCTTTCAACTAACCACAAATAGTGATGTGAAATCTGTTGACATAATGCATTTCAACGTTTCAGATTTTTCAGTGTACGAATTGTATGTTGTATTGTTTATGGTGAGTGTTTTTTATGTTTACCAGTGCCAAAGACACATTATATGTACATGTAATGTACCACAAAGGTATTCTGAATCTGCATCTGAATCTAGATATATTACTCTGTTAACCAAGATGATTTGTTGAACAAGGAGAAGAAGAAGAATGGCTTTTTTAAGTAATGTGTGCACTGTTCTGCGCATAATGATTGTTTTTGGGCACCAGATCATATCGATGTTTGATATAATGAAAACAGTATTTTCAGTATGACTGTGAAAAATAAACATTTATAGATGTGTTTCTGATTTCCTGCTGACATTGGCTTTTTTTACTGGATTTATTGCAGATATGGTGTTTGTCGAGAATAATGTACATAATAAGAGACCTCAGAAAAAGTTATAACATATTTGATTACATTTGGACTATACTCTTCAAATAGAGATTTTACAAATATGTATTGTACTGTAGTCATGCTTGTATTGAGTTTTGGGGAGTAAGGGTAAATACAATTGTTTCTTATGGGCTTCAAACATATGTTTCAAAATGTATTTGAGAAATATCTTAATCCTAAAAGCAATCTATGTGTTATAGTTCTAATGAACAAAGTCAAATAAATTATTTAACCATCATTGTTTACAACAACAACATGCAGACATCAATTTTGAATCTTTATTTATCGATAACATATTTAGTGGTGTTTGAAACAAAGTGACTCACAATGCCAACATGTCTGTTCAAAAGTCTGGTTTATTTCAGTGGTAAGTTTCAGGTACAACATTTTTTTGAATTCACATTTCTATCACATTTCACTTAAAATCATCTTAGTAGCTTTAAAGATCATCAACGAAAGAAAAAGAAAAAATAAGTTGATTAAAAACTTGGCTTCCCTCAAAGGGAAATTATGAAAGCATCGGCAGGATTGGTGATAGTAAAAATATCAGAAAAATATTAGAGCCTTCAAGTCGGGCATTTATCTAACAGACTCAAAAACAGTTAAGTGCAAAGCCTTACACAGTTAGAATTAGCCTATGAGTCGGTGGTATGCAGCAGGAAGCCAGTGAAAGTGTTAAAGTGGCTTAGGTTATCACAGATGACACATCCTGCAGGCAGGAGGACCACCACCTGGTCCCCAGCCTTCAGTCCCACAGCCACCACCACCGTGGAACTGTCTTCAGGGTCATTGCCTTTATGTTCCGGTAAAACAGCCACCGCATGGCCGTTGACCATCAGGTTAGCACAGGCGGCAAAGGGGTTAATAGGAGAATCAATGTCGCTGTAGATGGTGACGGCGAGGCTGTAGACACCAGAGCGAGGAGCGGTGAAGATACTGGTGTCCGTACTGTAGCTATCACCCAGATTGATGAAGACGTGTTTGAAAGGGATGCGTTTGTCGTCAGGGAAGGGGCCAAAGCAGAGCATTCTAGCGTTGCTGTTGAGAGCGACAGAGAAGGCACTGCGGCTCTCTGAAAAAGCAGAGAAGAATAGAAAATCAGGTTGGAAGAATAAGGTGAAGGAGTTTTGTTCTTCAAAGCAACATTGACTCACTAACCAAGTTGATAAGTAACATTAAAACAATTCTGTTTTGTATTTCACATATTGCATTTTCCACAATGTTATGTTCAATAAGCAAATGAGGCATTTCATTATTTGAAAATGTGTTAAATTGATTTCCCGAACAGAAATCTTAACATTGGATATGGCTAGGTTCAAAATTCAGGGTCAAATGTTTTTAAATAAGCAACTTTGAATATCTGTTTGTATCACTCCATAAATAACAACAAACTGTCCACAACCATAAAACATATGGGACGTGTATTTTTTATATAAATCTGGCATGAATGAATATACCTTCAGAATACAAATGGAAGGTTTTGGTGTAACCAGTGCATAAAAAAGCGTGTCTTTGATTTAAGATATTTTGATGACGTTATGAACTGACTCCTGGTTTGTTTGCGGGATCTGACTGCTCACCTCTGAAATTGTTGAGGGCCATCTTTGATTCTGTCAGGACGTGGTGCATTCCTTCATAGCTGAAGTTAAAGTACTGTTCCATCTTGTTCAATTGCTTCTGCATCACACAGCAGCCACACGATTGCTGATCCAAATAACACGCTGTGCATGCATACATTCACAAACAAAAAAGCACACACATTAAGACAAAGGTTGCAGGTGCAAGTATGTGCAGACACATTGACTATGTATTGACGGAAAAAATAAACATATTTTCTTAAAACTCTCTTACGATTGGATGCCGTGTCAGAAGTAGAGGAAGGATCCACCCAGCCATATTCGTCCATACCAAAAGCTGCATGCAGCATACAAAGAAACACAATAGCTGGGGGGAAAGCAAAGGCACACAAATAAAACGCAGAAAATGGTTTGCATTATAGTTTCTCGGAAAAATGACCTTACTCTGGACTGCTGTTTCCGTGCCTTTAAGCTTTAAAAAGAGACCATTCCCTCCTACATTACATTGTACATGTGTCCCCAGAATTGTGTTTCTTCTTCGTTGTTAAATACCACATTGAAAAGCCATCTTCATTTAGGATATTTCTAACCTGCTCTTCTTCCATTATGTCTGACCTTTCAGTTGAAAAGTCATTCTGGATTCCATATTGTCTGTGAAGCTAGAAACCCTTACCATCCTAAATATTATGCCACTGTAGTTGAAACTTGTATTAAGTCTCACCTCTCATGTTGATGCTGGTGAAGGATGATGGCTTCAGATGGATTGAAAGTGCGTAGACTGATCCTGAGACAAAAGACTTGGATATTTATATTTTTCTGAGAGTCCCGCCCTTGTCACCTCTCGTTTTTATTCTTCCTCTTTTGGCATCGCTCGTCCTTGTTTTTATTGTTGCCCTATTTGCCTTTATGACTTTCATGACTAAAGCTGTATTTCTTCATCGCTGGGGGCTCTCATTTTGTAGAAATCACACACACGCAGACACACACCCTAAAGGGCTTTGTTGGTAAGGCCAACCAGGTATAATGTATCGCCTGAGAGAAGGTAGTGTGTCCGTTTCAAAGGAAGTGACGAACAAGAGAAAAGCCATTTAAAGTTAGTCTTGCAGTAAACACAGGAGCCACCGGCTTAAAATACCATTCAGTTTGGAGGCCATTTAGGGTTGTAGTGATGTTAATTTAGTAGCAGGTTTTGATAAGGAAAAATAATGTGTTGGGGAAAAAGCTGATATCTTCCCACCGTGAGTCCAATAATGTCATGAGTTCAATGCTACATCAAATGGAGTACTCTTTCGACTTTCCACGGTCCCATTGTGGTGATTAAAACAAAATACCACATAAGGCTACAGTTTTGTTGAGAATCCTGATTTATTTTGTCCACATAAAAAAGAAAAATCATACATTTCCGTCACATAAAATCAGTAAATGACACAAGATTTCACAAGAACCAAGTTACTCACACTGTATGGCATTAGTTAGTTGTTATGGGAAATAGGTTAAAAGATATACAACATTTTGAACTGTTATTTAGAAATGGCCTCAAATGTTGTAATAAATAATTGCTTCTGTCAAAAGATGACATAAGGTCTAAAGGTTTAGGAGGTAAAGATGAGAGTGTTCAGATGGATTGAAGATAACAATGGAGAAGATAGATTCAAAACTAAAAAGCACACCTCTCACTACAGAAAGATTTCATGTATCAGACTCAAACCTCATCAGGAGGTCAAGAGTTACAAATCCCAGGGCAGCTTAATCAGTAGCATACAGCAAGAAACCAGTGAAAGTGTTATAGTGGCTGTTGTCATCACAGAGGAAACATCCAATGGGCAGGTTGACAGCCACCTTGTCCCCAGCATTCAGGTGGAGGGCCACAATTATAGTGACGCTGTCCTCTTGGTCTTGCATATTTCTGTCTTTGGATCCTGCCACCACCAGGCCGTTAACCTGCAGACTGGCACAGGCGGCCAACGTGTTGCCAGGAGCCCCGGCGTCACTATAGACCAGGGGTGCCCAACCTTTTTTGAACCGAGAGCTACTTTTAAAGTGGCCAGTCTGCCGAGATCTACCAGTCCAAATAGAGAGTCGTAGCCATTACTGACAGCCTGCTACCAGGTAAATACACACTTCTACTTGTATAAAACTGACCTTTGTACGATGAATACTTCATAAAATACTGCAGATCCTTTATCTTACCTCTTTCTAATCTACACACATACAAGTATTTAACTGAAGTTACACAACAGTGTTGTTGATACAGAGTTGGAGTTTATTCACACGTCACTACAGTGGGTAATGTTTTCAAGAAACATTGAACAGTGCTGCCACATATGACACAGGGAAACAAGAAAATACTCTGAACCCTTTCTTTGCCATTATATAAAAATAGTGTTGCTACAAAAGTATACATTCGGCTTACTAATAAGAAAACTCAGATCTGAAGCTACTCAGGAATTTGCTGCCAAAGTGCAATAAAAAAGACAAAATTAATAGAATCAAACAATTTTTTTGTTGAATATAAAAAGAAATGCCTTTAAAATAGGATGCACGCAACACTAGTTTCTTAACCTGAATTGATAATAGACTATAATCAATTTAAACAGAACAGATCTTAATGTTTGCATTCTTATACCATTTTGTACAATAATTATAATGAATAAGTTCAAATGTGTTTCGCAAGAACGTGACTGACACGATAAGATGCTATGGTAGCAGCCTTGCTCTTGTTGTTGGGCCTGGTGAAAATGGACTGCTGTGCATTTAGCTGTCCTTTCAGGCCCCTCCCCTTTTGGAGCGTAGTGCAGAATTAGGAGGGAATTCCGTCTCGTAGCGTTTGTGCACTGTTTTGAAATGCCGCTCCTAAATTACCCTTCTTCGATAAAGCCACGCTCGCATTGCAGATGAGAGACAGATGGACTTTGAATTGGAATAGATACAAAAATAATCATCCTCCCACTCGGAGTGAAAATGATATATTTTTGGCTTTTTTGCTTCTGCCATAATTGCGGTCTTGTGTGTGTGCGGACTGTCACTCCTGTTGACACGGTCGGACAACAACGTCAGCGAAATTATAGTGCCCACTGCCCACCAGCCACGCCCCGACACATGGGGTCATGCCGGCCAATCACAAAGCTTTGATGCGTTCAAGTGCATTATTCTGGCACAGGAACATTATGTTACAGGACATTAACGATAAAACAGAATGTTGTTGTTCTATTTTTAGACACATCTCGCGATCGACTGGGAATCTCCTCGCGATCGACCGGTCGATCGCGATCGACCGGTTGGGCACCCCTGCTTTAGACGGTGAGGGCCAGGCTGTAGACACGAGAGCGAGGAACAGTAAAGATACCAGTCTCTGTACTGTAGCTATCACCCAGATTGATGGATACTCTAATATCGTTGAGAATGTTCTTTGTTTTTGTCAGTTCCTGCTCCAGCTCAGTGAGACTTGTGTTGAAGAACATCTTCATCCTTTGTATCTGCTGCTGCATCAGACAGCAACCACACGACCCCTGGTCAGTAAGGCCTGCTGAACACACAGAAGTTCAGTAGGTTGAAGATTCTGCCGACTCAATAACTATTTCCCATGACTTTTTATAATTTTGTTTTTCTCTCACCATTTTCCGTTTTGGAATCAACCACCTGTCCCCTCCAGGCATACATATTGGCCTGAATTAAGGCAGCTTCCAATAGACATAGCAAAACAGCAGCTGGGAGAAGAGCAAAAGTTATTAACCAATAACCCAGAAAGAATCCTATCATTGAAAGTAAAACATTTTACAACTTTTCTATTTATATCTCACCTCGCATGGTGATGCTGGCAGTTGACGAAGGCTTCAAGAGGACAGACTGTGATTGACTCATGCAGGGTCTCCCTTATATACGTTTCCCATCAATTCTCTTCTATAGCTCCTCCCAGTTCACCTTATACCATTATTTGTTGCCTTATGCCTGTATATGTACCTGTATGCCTTAACTCCTTTATGTTTGCGTGGGGGCAGCACAGACCCACACAAACACAGTCCAGGTTTTTGTGTTGTTGATGTAGGTCAGGTATTATCTGTCCTCGGAGGCTAGCTGTCTATGTGGTTCAGCGTTCCCATCACACGCAAATATGTATGCATGGATTTCCTCTCTTTCCAATTATATATTGTGCATTAAAATGAAGTGACCTGAAGTGTCTGAATGTAACTAAGTACATTTACTCATATACTGTACTTAAGTACTAATGTGAGCTACTTTTAATTTGACTCAAATCTGTCATGTCACTTACTTTCTACTTCTAATTAATACTTCCCTACATTTGTCTTACAGATCCAATTACTTCTTACTTTTTCCAGAAGCCATGTCCTCACTCATTATTACTTTCTCTAATTTGTCCTACTTTTTCAATCAGGGCAAGACACAACAAGCTGTGGCCACACGTGTAACACGAGAGCTTTATTGTCTTCCTGTGAATAGTGTTGAATTTCCTGACTAGCACAAAACCAGGCTATGCTTGTGAGTGTTAGGTCCAGAGAAGAAGACACACAAAAAAGTGGCCTCCCTCAGAGCAACAAGTGAGAGGGTGGTTATTTGAGTCAAAATGTATATTTGATTGAATGTAGGATGGTTACTTTAGTCGTTGTTATAGCTTTCACTTATTTTCTTGTGGTTTTTGTTCTTTCTCTTTGTACATTTAATCAGTGCAAACTATTGTTGCATTTGCATATGCTCATACTTTGCTTTTCATTGCTAAATTATAGCATATTGTCATTGTATGTCCACTTCTTTAAGTTGTAGCGTAAAACCTTGGTTATAATAATAATAATAATAAATTACATTTGTATAGCGCTTTTCCTGGTGCACTATGGAAAACGTATGAAAAATATTTTTGATCATAAATTGTATCTTTGAGAGCAAATTATGACAGCAAATATAAACCTTTACTGTGTTACTTACTAGCAGTGTTGGGACTAACGCATTACTTTTTTTATTCAGTAACTCAGACCGTTACTACATGGTGCGTTACTCCGTTAGTTTTTTTTCTATAGATGAGAGTAACAAATGCGTCACTTCCGGGCAAAAATAACGTCTCCGCCCACTTTTGGGGGAAAACAACGCTGTCAGTTGAACGGCGGTCAATACAAATTCTGAAGTTTTTGCCAATCCGATCAGAAATTTAAGAAAACCGGAGATTTTTGGATCATCAAAGAGCCCGATTCCAATGGCCAGACAGGCAAACAATTGCATTAAGCCATTAGAAATCGACGATCGGGATCGATATATGGTTAAATATAGCAGTAGGCTATCGATTTTCATAGATGAGAGTAACATCGACGTCACTTTACGGCCCCGCCCACTTTTGGGGGAAACAACACTGTCATTTGAATGGCGATCGAGCCTGAAGCCACAGAGCTCTTCTGTTACTGTCCTTTCTTCTTAGAGGAAGTACAGAAACACTGAACTCTGGATTATTTTTAATGTTTGAGGTGTAATAAACGACACAGCAGCTTTTTGGCATGATACAACTATTATGTTCCGCCTCGCTCATGAGAGTAACAGCAGGAGAAATTACAGCCTCGCCTACTGATTTTAATTTAAAGGGATAGTGGAAATCCGCGAATTTTGGGTTTAACTTATGTATTTTTATTAAAAAGAAGCATAATAAACCATTTTTTTTAATTTCATGAGCCTAGTTTCATTTCATTTTCAATTTTACTGCGCCCTCTCAATGAAACGAAATACTTCGGGAATCGTCGGGAATCTTCGGGTGATGACGAAAGCATAGGAAGACGGGCACAAACAATGGCGGACATTCAATAGCATTTGCATGTGAATAGCCGACCTTTATTATGGTGAATAGATGTGTTTTGTATGGCTGTAGTGCGACAGAAAAATTCTACGTGACACAACGACATTGGATTAACCTTGAGATGCGTTTTTATTTTGATCACAAATCAAAAAAGGTAAGACGTAATTATTGTAATATTTTTGGAACCGGATGTTGTTTACTTTCTCTTTTCTGGCTGATAGCTCCAGGAATTCGAGGTCTTACAGTGATGATGACATTACATGTGTGGAATCTGTGGAGTCTCAGCTTTAAATCGTATATCTTGTTTGTGCAGTTAAGATAGTAATAAGGGTATTTCTACCGTGTGTTGTGTGTAAAAAAGCGTTAGCATTAGTTAGCATTGTTT